GGATCCAGTACTGATTTAAAAATTTTTTTTCCATGTTTATTTATTTTGAGAGAGAGAGAGAGAGAGAGTGTGAGTGGGGGAGGGGCAGAGAGAGAGGGAGACAGAATCCGAAGTGGGCTCCGGGCTCCGAGCTGTCAGTGCAGAGCCTGACGTGGGACGCGAGTTCAAGACCTGGCCAAAGTTGGACACTTAACCGACTGAGCCACCCACGCGCCCCTCCGGTACTGATTTTTTCAATGTCTAGCAGGTGAGGATGACGAGTCCATGACTCTCGTTTGTGGCAGAGGGACCATGGGCTCGTCTGTGCATTGTGGCCTCCCCAAAGCAGTGAAAAACCACACAAGGGCTGTGTCCACCCTCTCATCCTCTATGGTCTGGACATTGGAGGAAATCTGCAGGCATCCCTCACCCATCTATAATTACTTATTGATTTCTTGTTTTGTGAGTGCAGTGATGGCAAGAGCCAATGAAATGAACACGGCAGCAGTAAGAAAAGGGAGCCCTGTGTGAGACGGGCCGTGAAGGGCATGACTCCAATCCTCCCTAAGCTCATTAGTCACTGGCTGAATGGTGCGCACAACCTGAGAGTCTATCTTCCCGACAATAAAAGGAAGGACATTTAAAGATTCGTTTTATGTTCTGCTTCTCTCATCCCGACGGCAAGAATGAATACAATATCTCTATCCAGAGAAACACGACTTTACTCGGTTTCCAGCACAAACAAGTTGGCATTCCAGGAGACACCAGCTCATTGTGAAAGATAACTGATGTTTCTGGGTGGGGGCCACGATAGGAGTACAGCTGCGAGAACACTGGGCAGTGAATATTAGTGGAAAGAATCAGTCTGGTTTCTAACCCAGATGATTGTCAACACGAGGGCGATTCTGACATCTGATCTGGCTTTGATTTGACTCCTGCATTTATGGACCAGGGATTTTAATTCACTCATGGACAGGTTGAGTGGATGCTGTTCTCTCTGGAGCCCTTCGAATTTCTTAGAGCAAACTAATAAGGCTCGGTATCATAAGCTAAACACTGTGACCCCCTCCTTGACAATAGGGACTGTTCTCTCCCTTTCCACAGTCTGTTTTAAGAGCCCAGCGTGTTTTCTAAGCAGGAAGTCCAGGCAGAAGCAAAGCAATGCAAGAACAAAGGTACATTTCCCTCATTCCTGATCCTTTTCTTTCTGCACCCGATACTCAGAGGCATTTTCGCTGTGGTGCCCTGAGCCTTCCTGCAACGTCTGCTCCATCTCAGGATATATCTGTGCCTCAGAAGACAGAGCGGGCCCACTGTGCCTGGAGGGCCATGACTTCTCATTGAGTGATCACCTGAGGAGGGTCCCCCTGGCATCACACGATGGCCTGGGGTGACTGCAGGTTGCCAGTGAAGTTTTTCTTGGAACCCTCTGGGGTCGTCTTTGTGGGGCACAGTGGCCTTACCAGCTGAGTGCCACTGAGACCCAGAGACCAGCACGTGGTCTGGAGGTACAGAGAGACAGAAATAACAAAGAGCTGCGGTGCTGAGCTGGAGACCTAGGAATGAGTCCCGCGCAAGACAGATGCCGTGGCAGGTGGCAGGGAACCTCCTGGCCGGCAACCTGACCGAGGGGCCAACCGCAAGAAGGGGGGAACACCACCAGCCAGTGAAACCTTCAGGCTTGCTCCTTGGAATCCCTTATTAAGAGGTCATTTTGCCCTAACATGAGCGCGAGCGTGATGACCTCGTTTGCACCTTTACTGACTGAATACTAACATAGAACCGTTTAACTATGATGGAAGAAAGATTTGGATCCAAAGCCTAAAAACAATGTGCTAAATCTGGTTCACATCTGAGTCCCAGCGATAAGCAAGCCTACATTTTCAGTGACTGCTGGGTACAGAACACTTTAAGGCAAAACAGGCCACGGACATTTTAAAACCCAATCCTGTTACTGAATTTGTGTTCAGGAAGATCCAGCAAATTGGTCTTGGACCTAACGCCTCATGAAGACCAATAAAACAATGATCTGTACTGGCTAGGAAGGAGATAAATGCCAATTTTCCATGTCATTAAGCCGAGGGTTGCATACAAAGCCTTCAGACACTGGCAGCCAAGAGGGGAAATCTAGAAGTTTGGAGAACAGAGTAATCAAAGTAGTTCAAGTAAACTAAGAACCTCAAGTTTAAAAAAAGTGGAGCCATCTGCTTTATTTTTGCCCGAGGGATAGACTGGATTTATTCATTTTCTTCCTTCCGATTTTCTAGCACATAGTAGTGCAGCCTCTTTCAGGCAGTGTTTGCTCATTTTGCGTGTAATTCAGGATTTTGCTCTTTAGGAGTTGGTATTTTTTTTAATGTTTATTTATTTTTGAGAGAGAGAGAGATAGAGATAGAGCATGAGCCGAGGAGGGGCAGAGAGAGAGAAGGAGACATGGAATCTGAAGCAAGCTCCAGGCCCTGAGCTATCAGCACAGAGTCCGATGCGGGGCTCGAACCCATGAACCATGAGATCATGACCTGAGCCGAAGTCGGACGCTTAATCAACTGAGCCACCCAGGCGCCCCAGGGGTTGATATTTTAATTGTACTAGAGTCAGAGGCAAGTTTCATTGCCATTTCTATTAAGAAATGACTTGTGATATAAGTTCACAATGCAAATCCTCCCACAATTAATATTTGAACCAAGCAAGAAAATTGTTTTCTATAAAAGTACAAATAAATCTGGGGCACCTGGGTGGCTCAGTTGGTTAAACATCCAACTCTTGGTTTCAGCTCACGTCGTGATCTCATGGTTTGTGGGACTGAGCCCTGTGCTGGGCTCTGCACTGACAGTGTGGAGCCTGCTTGGGATTCTCCTCCTCCCTCTCCCTCTCCCCTTCCCCACTCGTGCTTTCTCTCTCTCAAAATAAATAAACATTTTTTTAAAAGTACAAAAAAATCTTTTGAGATATTAAATATTATGGCACCTTCTGCTGCAACCTTTTTAGCTGTAAGCTCAAACTATTCATAATGCTTAGAAGTTTGAATTAAAATGTTTTTATTCATTCAAATGGAAATACCTTCCAGTTATTTGAAATTCTAAGGAATGACCTTAATTCAGCCCTGGAGAAGAGGTCAGAAGGATGATTTTCAGGGTAGGTGATATAGAAAATGTAGGACAAATGAAGAAGATTAGGTGGGCAAGTGGGGTGGTGGGGCATGGACTGTGGAAGGGCTTTGGAGGGTGGGGAGAGGAGGGAAAGTGACCTGGGGACACAGGAGTTCAGTAGAGCTGGTGGCTACATGTAGGCAGAAGGCCAGGGGTGAGCTGGGGAGCTAGGCTGAGGCTGCTCCTAAAAGGTCTCGAGGCCTGAACTAAGATGTTTGGACTCCATCCTGAGGCAATCGGAGCCACTGGAAGGTATGGCTCCCAAGAGTCACTTAGTCAAAGTTGCTTTCTAGAAAGTCTGCCCTGCTTGCCCTTTGGAGAATGGCCTGGAGAGGAGGCAGCCCGAGGGTGGAGAACCCAGTTACAGGTCTGTGGCAATCATCCAGAAGAAAGAAGCCAGCTGTCTCACGGTCATGACCATAGGAAGAAGCAGACGGAAGCAGAAGCGTGGGGCTTTCTGGTGGGATGGATGCAGACACGTGAAGGAGAGGAGAGAGCCAGCGATGGTTCCTGGGTATGGGCTTAGGTGAGGGAGGATGTAGGAACGAGGAGTCAAACCCAGGAGGGTAGGTCAGTTTGAGATCCAGTTTTGTTTGAGGCATCTGAGTAGGTTATCTGGCAGGTGGCCAGACGTACAGACAGACAGACTCAGAAGAGCCCTACATGTGGGTGGTAACTGAAGCCCAGGAAAGAGTCCTGACACCAGGAAGAGGCTGTGCATGAGATAAGAAAGATCTAGACACAGGAGTGCCTGGGTGGCTCAGCGGTTAAGTGTCCGACTTCGGCTCAGGCCATGATCTCGCTGTTCATGAGTTCAAGGCCCGCGTCAGGCTCTGTGCTGATGGCTTAGAGCCTGGAGCTTGCTTCGGATTCTGTGTCTCCCTCTCTCTCTGCCCCTCCCCTGCTCATGCTCTGTCTCTCTCTGTCTCTCAAAAATAAACACTGAAAAAATTTGTTTCAAATAAATTAAAAAAAAAAAGAAAGAAAGATCTAGACACACACCCGGGGGACATCACATTCAAGCATGAACAAGAAGATGAGCCCAAGAATGATGAAGAAGCAGCAATCAGACAACTTGAGGTGACTTAGGGGACAGTGATGTCATAGGAGTCACCAGAAGAATATTTCTGTGAGGGATGCTGTTTTACGACATCATTTTCAGACTGAAAAACACACAGGATCACAGCAGGGCCCCTTATCAGGGAAACGTGGCATGCTATTTACTAAGTCAGGGCTTGAACTCATGTCTTCTTTTTGCCGTTCTAGATTCCACCATCCTCTATGTAATGTTAGTCTTCAGTACATGTGACCTGCACACACACAGGTTGGCACTAAATAAAATAACAGCCTTCACTTCCCTTCTAAAACCATGGCAACTTACACTGTCATTAATGGCCTCCCCGTAAAGCCCTGTGTAACCTGGTTTACTTATACCCTTAGAGTGCAAGCTGGGGCACCAGAGAGGCATCTAGGGGCCAGGAGGAGAGAGGGTAGGGAAACCAAGGAGGAAGAGAGCTATGAAAATGTAGAAGCCAATAATGATCATGATGATGATGATGGTGATGGCCAAATGAAACCCTTGGATCCAAACATCCAGCTGCCTGTGAACAGAATGGCAGAGAGCATTTGTCAGCCAAATGGCATGAGCAATGAACAATTTTAGAACTCCCATGGGCATATGACTTTCCAGTTTACAAAGCTCTTTGATGATTACTGTCCCATTGGGCACAATCAGCGATCCTATCAGGCATGTGTATCTGTGTTTGCTGCACGGTTGAGAAAACCAAGGGGCGGGGTGGGACTGACAGAGAGATGCCCGCTGTCTCCATCAAAGGATGTGATGGGTCTTTTGACGCCAGACTGGAACACAAAGCAGAAGGCAAGTATCAAGGAGGCCCAGGCCTCCCAAACCTGTAGGGCCCTGAGGACATGTCCAGATGCCTAGAGAGAGCATTCCACCAGGTAGAATTGCCACAGACCATTTTAAGAGGTTATTCACTTCTCTGGAGACTCCGCATCAGTAATGGCTGGTGACCAGTTTCAGATAAAGGTTATAAGACAACACCAGCACACCTGTGAGCATTGACAGTGAGACCTGGTGAACTGAAGGTCTGTGCGCTGTCCGTCTGCAGGAAGGCACCACAGGGCTGCCCAAAGTCAATTCCTACCTAATAGGCAGGGAGGTCTCAAGGCGCTTGCCATGTCACGCTGCTAGTGAGGGGCAAGCCGCTCCTTGGATCTCTGGCCATGTGATTCTAAGCCTTGTGCTCTTTGTACTTCACCAGGTAGAAGGATGAGCCTCCCCGGCACTCACTTGCTCTTGAACCTTATGGGCAGGTGAGTGCCAGCACCAGGGAAGCCCAGTCTCACTCTCTTTCTTCCGTTTTAACTAAATTTGGAGGAATAGTCTCATTTGGGGGTGCCCCCTTACAGAAAGGATCCTGACAAACTTGCACGCATGTAGAAAAAAGAGAGAGTCGTGCGAAGGTCATGGAAATGCTGATATATTAGAACTGAGCATGTCTGGCCTGGGAAGGCGTGATCTCGTGGAGATGGAATGACTAGCTTCAAAAACAGGAAGGCTATCGTAGAGAAGAAAAATTAGACTTTTCAGAATGGCACTGGAGGGCAGAAGTTGCTGATCAAGAGATTCTTACTTAATGCAAGTAAGAAGTTCTGAATAACCACAGCTACCCTAAAATGGAATAATATGCCTCATTAGACAGTGAATGCAATTGATATTAAATGTATTTGAACACAGGGAAATGACTACTGGAGCTTTTACTGCCTTTCTTCTTCTAGTAAAATAACCACCTTCCTCCCGCCATAAAGTTTAGCGAGGATCACAGCTGCTCGCTTTTCCCATCCTGCCTCGCAGCTGGGTGCGGCCATGCGACTGAGTTCTTGGTGCGGAGATGTGAGCAGGAGTTCAGCACTTTTTGTATCCTTGCTTACAAGGACCTCACTGGTCCTCACTTCCCCTCTCTCTCTTCCTGTGTGCTGGAATGAGAGACGGCCGAGCTAGGGAACTTTGCCTACAAAGGCAAGGACAACAAGGCAAAGTACAGCAACAAGATGGCTCCTGGAATCACCTGCTGGCCCTGGGCCACCTGCCTACGGTTCCATGAGTGAGAAGTAGATACCTGTTCAGGTGAGCTTCTGAACACTTTTAAGTCTTTCTGTTAGAACAGCATAGCCTGCATCCCAACCGGTATAACTAGGTCTGGGAGATGCCGTACAGACCATTAAGGCATTATATAAGGGTCTGTAAACAATGATTTCTGTAATCGTATAACTCTATGTCTCCCCACCACCCCAATTTTGTCTCCTTTCTTCTAAAACCAGCTGTCCCGATGGTCCTTACCAGGGTCAAACATAAGCACCCCATTATGTCAGTGACCTCAATTTCCTAAAGTACCGAGGTTTGACGAAGTCCAGAATCATTGACCTCCAGTTTGTCCTTCATGCCTATATCAAGGGTTCATCTTCTTTTCCAATACCAAACAGCCTCTGTGATGATACAGAGGATAAAGAAGTTTTAAAGTTCTGTTTGTGGTTATCCAAACTTAAGGACTGGTTAAAAAAAAAAAAAAAAGAAAAAAGATGGTGTATGAGGCATGTGATAAAATTCTTCTGCAATTGTTGATTTTCCTTTAGGGAAAAAAAGTCCAGGCCTCACTAAAGTTGAAGGTTCAGATAATACAAATATGTTTTGGCTCACAATGTGTCAGGGACCAAACATAATTTTGTATTGGTCAACACACCCAGCCAGAAGAATATTCTGATGTATTAAATGTGTCTCTCTATGTAAAATAAAGTCATTGAGCTAATGAAATGAGACCCTGGCCTCTGTGTCTGAGCCCTGGGAGGAAATCAGCCAGTGACAGATGGACCTTTAATTCTGTCTGATAGATATGCCATTTCCATTTCCATTTCTCTCTTTCTACTCATGTTTTCCTCTTACGCATAATGCCTCTATGTCTTACCTCCTAATTTATGAAAACTCCGTGAATTCTTCAAGATTTTGCTCTGTGCTTTTCTTAGCCCTAGTGCATCCAGTAAATCTGTAGTACATATCTCTGAAACTATTGAAGTTACGAGTAATTATTCCATATTTCATTAAAATTTTTTTTTAATGTTTATTTACTTTTGAGAGACAGAGATAGAGCATGAGCCGGGGAGGGGCAGAGAGAGAGGGAGACACAGAATCCGAAGCAGGCTCCAGGCTCTGAGACATCAGCATAGAGCCCGATGTGGGGCTCGAACCCACAAACTGTGAGATCATGACCTGAGCCGAAGTCGGACGCTCAACCAACTGAGCCACCCAGGTGCCCCATTCCATATTTCATTTTTACCCACATTAGCTACTTCCCACGTCTTATGTTTTCTCTGAAACTCTTCTTCCTTTAAGCCCACGATAGATGTTTAATAAACAGATTTGAAGTGTGGAGAATTAAAAGATACGGATCAGACATTTTTTCAATGATATGCAAATTGTCAAGGAAGAACAAAAAGGAAATCTATTTCCCCACTGATTAAAAACAATTCACAAGCATGAATGAATCTGGTCGTCTCACCAAAGGAGTTTTCAAAAAGAAAAGCTTTTGTGAACGGTGAACTCTGCTATTATGATATTGAGCATAAAGGTCCTCATTTCATTTCACAACCGCATAATTTGGAAATTATTAAGAACGGCTCTTTCTCCACCTTTTTAAATCATGGGTCAACTGAAAACATCACCACGGGTCAACTGAAAACATTGGCATCAGTTTCTCCAGCTCATCCTCCTTGAATGTCCTCACACAAAACACAATTTAAATTATCTTTAGCTCTTGATTTTTAGCTCCATTAAATTCCTGTCAACACATTTTTCTCCTTCATGAAAATTAAAAGACAATTACACTTTCTGGACTGTATTACCGACACAGAAAGAAACTAAGATGGCAAAGTTGTACTAGTATTCAACAAATAACTTGTAGAGTCTCTAAAAGCAGTTCCCCTTCGATGCACATAAGTAGGGGAAGGTGTATTTCAGCAAACAAATGTTCAGGATCCAAGGGAAAGTGGAGTTTATTTGAGGCAGTAATATTTCATCGAGCTTCCGGAGCCACCGATTCAGAACGACCAGTTCCCTTCTAATTGATAGCGTGTTCTTCATGCAAAGCTGCCTGTTCAGCTGAAGGATCCTGCCCTGGGAGAGAATTCATTTGGCTCCTGGAGGAGTCCAGGAAGGAACGAAGTAGGGATTCTGGGATGTGAATTTCAAGCAAAACAAAACGTAACCCAAAACATTTGAGAGAAGGGCTTACGCTAACGTGCCAAATATTTAGAAAAGAATATAATTAATCTACAACACTCCCTTAACACTGCGTTTTGCCATCTCGGTTTCAACTTAAACACACTTGCTCTTAGCAAATAGGAAAATCTTGAAAGAGAAATATATAGGCTAAACTTTGCAAACTCGAAGTGCAAAGTAATGAGAGCATAAGGGAGATAGAAAGACCTTGGGGTAAATCTACACACAGGCTCCAACTTAGCAGAACCAGTTATTAAATATTTACTCTTTTCCCACTGGCTTAGAAAAATCTCCCTCTGGCAAGATGGGTCTTGCTCTCTGTGATGTGACCTCTTGCCGCGGCCCCACATTCCCAACCCAAGAATGGCAGGCTAGGGGATGAAGGCAGCAGTGACGTTGGCTCCTCCTTCTTCTCATGCCGGTGGCCAGAGGGTGTAAGGAGGTACTCTTAGCAGTCGTTGAGGAAGCCCATGCCCCCCACCCCAGTCCTGTTTAAGCTTTCTGAATCCCTACGGAGATCAATGCCTACACTATTCTCCCTGCGGATTAACGATGGTCTCTTCCCCTGTCCATCCACTCAAATCTATCATGGGATCATCAATCCTTTAAGCTATCCACATTTGCTGGTCCAAGAACAACAGAAACAACTTCTGAGACACGTTGTGAAAAAATTCTCCCCTTCTAACCCTAAAAGGAAAAGTTATACACCCTTTATTTACCATCACTTGGAAATGACGTACAGAGCAAAATTTCTAGATGTGACATTTTTCCCTTATGATTTTACACTTGAAACCATTTTGGGGATGAACACCCTTGTGACATGTATGATACAAACTCCCTCCTGCCTCCTGAGAGTGTGCAGGACAAATGCCTAGCCTCTGCCTCCTGATGTGCACCCATTATTAGGAACATCAGGCCTTTCCTGCTGGGTGGTAACTCAGGGACGGTTGGGTGAGGCACACAGGGCAGGCTGTAGGATCTTCTCCTCATTGCTCTTGGGCTGTGACACTTCTTGGCTTCCTGAATTGCTTTTTACATTTTTTTTTTCTGTCTTCTCTCCACCATTATTGTTGATGCCTGTTTTTTCTTTTTTCTTTTTTTTTTTTCTTTGGCAAAATCTTTCAGTTCTTTAATTTTTAGTCTATTGTACAATATGGGAGCTCGGGAAAACAGTTACTTTCATTTCCGTGAGACAATCTAGGGTATGACCCTATGCATATGGGTCTGTCTAATCCAGAAGGTTCATGGATCTTAGTGTATATTTGGGGACACTTGCTGACCCTTCTCTCCTGCTTCCTCATTGACTGTCCTGCTTTTTAGTTGTGTTTCCGTCACTCGGACTGTTGGACAAGCACTTTCCATATCTATAATGTACGTGGTTGTGACCAGATATTTTGTCTTTGGGCTCAGGGTCTGTGTGAACCAGGGACCAAGAAGGTAAAGCAAATCTTACCTTTTTGTAGAGACTCCTCAGATCTCGGTACTGCCACATGCTGTTTAGGACCTGAGATGCGGCCTTGACCACTTTTGGAGAGTGTCTGATAGAGAGAAGACACGTAAGATGGTAAAAGTGGGGCAGCTGGGTTTCAGACTGACACTGACTCATCAGGATCCAGCGTTTACAGAAAAAAACCACATCCGTATGGCCTCCCGGCTCTTTCCCTGCCACCCCTGGGAGTGCAAAGGATGGTCCACCAGTCTCCAACCTTCCTCTCATCGGCACACCCATGAGGGCAAGAGATAGGAACACAGGCAGTTTGGCAAAGAATTTTCAAAATGGAAAAGGAAGAGCACAGCCTTGAGTCCGAATGCAAATTTAGTGTTTGACTATAAAGGGGAAAAGAAAGAAGAGAAACACACCGATCGGGAAGGGCCAGATCTGTGAATTTTAATGGCAGTGTTGTGTAATATCTGTGTAGCAGCAAGAAGAAAAAAAAAATTTCATTTTCTCAGCTGAAGCTTGAGAGCATGTATAGTGTTGGTTCCGCATGCCTACGTGATTACAGGGAGCTGCTCTCCATTTGCCGATGGTACCACGCACAAGGGACTGGCAGCAAAGGAAGATGTGTGTGCGTGCTCTCTCACATGTATGTACAGGAAGGCATAAGCATCTAGAAGTAAAGCCCTGTGTACAATTAAAGTTCCATCCTGCGGACCATTTTTTTTTTGAGTCATGGCTTTAAAATGGTTATGAAACACAACAACAGCTAAATATTTCGACTTTTGGGTCGGTGCCAACTTGTGTCTCCAAACAGACATGAGGTCAATAAATCTGTGTTGCTTTAATGTGATCACAATCTTGGAAATTATTTTGGCTGGTGGTGGCGGAAGCTATTAATTAATTACCTGTAGATTCTTTATTCTAATGGCCAATTCCATAAACAGCTGCACCCTCTAGTGGCTGTTAGTGCCACTGTGGCCTGTCTCAGGGGCTGGCGCATTTTTCTATAAAGGGTCAGATAATGAATATACGCCACTCGGAGGGCCATATGGTCTCAATCACAGCTACTGAGCCCTGTGACTGTACCGCTAGAGGAGTCATAAATAATACATCAGCGAGTGGATGTGGCTGCGTTCCAATAAAATGTTATTTACAAAAGCAGGCAGTGCAAAGGCAGGTGGGATGTGGCCCCTGGCCTGTAGATTGCTGGCCCCTGGTCTGTGTGTATGGTGACTCCTGGAGTCGGGCAGGACATAACCATTCATGAGGACTCCAAGGTGAACCCACCTGAAGCTGACCAGTGGGGCAGTGGCCCAAAGATTCCCAGAAGAGAAAATCTGAGTTGGGACCAAAAATGCCTTTGAAATAAACTGGCTTTTGAAATAAATAGAAAGTGAGCAGATGGTTAGATGGGATGAGGTTGAGGTTGGATAGGAGAGCCGGAGTAAGTGGAGGTTGTGAGGACATACATTTTGTGATGGAATTATGGGATGTTAATACATGGTCAATTAAATGTCTGCTATTTTCCTGGGTCTTCAAGTTTGCGATTTAGACCAAGTAAGTTGAAGGTTCCTTCATCCACTTGCTTACTGGTGACAGTAACAGTCATGCTTACTATCTTTATCGCTGAGATGAAATACAATTTTGGCTGTGTTTGAAAACACTAGTTATATCATGCGTTTTCAAAAGAAAAAAAAGTAGCGTTCTCATAAATTCAATTTTTTTCACTATGAAAGATGAAACGTATATACGTAACACACATATTTTCCTTTACTAAATGCATGGTTGCTAAATGATTTCAGAATTTTTGTTAGTATCATGCGCTACATGTAATATTAGGTTCCTTTGATTTAAAGACAGAGAATTTAGAGCTTTTCATGGATACAGGTACAGGTGTGTGTTAGCCTTATATAATCAATGCAGGTTATATATATATATAATCAATCAAAGGTTAAATGTTATGTGTTGCTGTATTTTATCACTGTTAGCTAGAAATTTGTCCATGACAACAGTTAAGCAACTCTTGAGGAACATGCATTAATATTCAGATAGTGGTAAGGTAGTCGAGACACAGCATGCAAAAATTCTTCAGAAACTGTAATTTTTTTGTTTCTCCTTCTTGCTTGGGTACAAAATAGAAAAAGACTACAAATGTGTAATGAATAGCAGGTTTTAACCTTTCAATTAAAATGCCAACACATCACAGGGTCATAACATGCGAAGGTCAAAGACACATTGCTTTTTTTATACTTTAATTTTGACCCATGACCCATCACTAGACTGATACCATAGCAACTTCTACTTGAAAGACTATAACTATTGATTGAAGGACTGAACAATTGAGTGTTTCTAATGTGACAAGTGATTATAACCTAAGCCGCAATACACAGTTCCTTACTGACAAGTAACGGTTGAGACTGTTAATGGCTTTTCTGTCTCATGACAAAATGCAGTGACACAGTCAACCCTATTTCCTATATAATTGTGAAATTTAGAAAAAAAAAACCCAAATGTACTTTTGAAAGAGACAGATGTGACAGGATGTCCATACTGGGTGTTTAAAATGACGTGAAAAGAATAATTTAAGTTATCCAGAATTGAAAATAGTAAGTATGAGATTCCTATAAGAGTCATTGATGATTATACCACACCTGATCTTCACCAACGCTGTCAAATGAGGGGTGACTGCACCGTTGGTGCAATTCATCGTGGGTGTTGAGCACAGCTACTCAAAGCCGCAGGACCCCAGAACCCCAGTGTTGGTGGTTGTATTAGCAAAACACAATGAGTTGTACAGTTCAAACAGACTATGACTGGCAACTCACCAGTCCGACTCATTAATGGCATGGCATACTTTAAATTTCTGTATATTTAGAAATAAAACACATAAATACAGAGTCGTAGAGAGGCATGTTTTTCCACCTGTGCCTTATGCTATCTGGAATTTACAAATCAGTTTTGAATTAAACTTATTTCTGTTAATAATTTTTAAGGACATTTTAGGGAGGGCAGATCTGTACAAATTAACCAGAGCAAACTGCTCTCCCTCCATTTTTCAATGATTAATCCCCAATTTTAAAAACTCTCCTTTCAATAAAGAATTTCTATTTTGTTAAAACTTGTCGAAGGCCTTGGGAATCTCAGCGCCTAATGTCATAACAGAATCGAGTGATAAGTGGTGAGTTTAGTGTGAAGATTCAGAACAGTTCTTCTGGATTCCTTTTAAGGGCGGTGAAAAGCAGTAACAAAATTCAAGTGTAGGTGGGAGATGAGGCTATCTGCAGTTATAAAAACCTTGTTTTGATCCCCAAATTAGTCATTATATAAAAAAGAGGTAAATCACATGGAAGGATGGCTGAGATAAGCAGGAAAGTAGGGAAGATGCCTGACTCAACCCAGTTCAGTACTGCTTATTCAACTCGTGTGTAAATCTCGACTATTAACTTTGGAAAAAAAGGGCAAGGGCTAATGAAATGAAACACATGACTTTCTTAAAAGAAATTTTCAGTCAAGTCAAAGGACAGTTATGAGATCATCTATAGTGAAAGAAACTTCCCATTAACAATAATGAAGATTGGACAAGACCTATCAGGACCATTTTCTGGATTGGCATTGTGGATACACACTCTTTCATGGATGGTTTCCTGAAATGATTTTTAAGTTAGTTTCACCAAGTAATTTTCTTTGACCATAGGACTGATAAAAACACCTCTTCTCTTTAAGGCCCATTTAGTGATGTATGCTACAGTAAGGATGTTCACACAATTGGAAGAAATTAACACACGCCAGACCACCCTCAAACTCCCTATTCTTACATTTCAGAGAAAAAAAAATCTTTGAACATCTCATGAATATGCACAAATAGGTCAGAATGTTTTGTGGACTATGGTTTTATTGTGTGTGTGTGTGTGTGTGTGTGTGTGTGTGTGTGCGTGTTTGCTTAAAAAAGCATTGACATATTAAGCTCTTAATGTTCAAAACGGGTAAGCATTTCAATTAGAGATTCCAAAGTTCTACGGAAGCTCTATGAAGAAGAAAACCATGTGGTTTCGTGTTTATGTAGAATAGCAATCTATTTTAAGTACAATATAATAACATACAATTCAAGCCAACTATCTATATGGCACCATTACTGCATGAGTCCAGTGGGGCTTCTCTACTTGATATAAAAAAGTATTTGAATCCTAATACTAAGTTGTTGACTGAACCTATTTGAAGCTCTTAACCAGAAACCAGAGACTTCTTTTATTATACAATGGTAATATCCTGAATCAAATGAAATAATGAGAGAGAATTTCCAAATAGTCTCAAAGTACATCCTTTACAGCCCTTAATAATGGAAGAAAAATTATTTAGCGTTTCGTTGTGAAGAAATGGGGGGAGGCAGGGAGTGGAAAGTCAAGAAGTAGACCTTGGGTAACAAAAGGTTTACCCTCTTAATCTCATTGATTACATTGAGGGATTTCTAGGAGGCAAAATTTAATTAAGGTTTGTGAATGTTTCTGTAACATTGACAGCTTGCTGATAGACTGACACCCTGGCTTCTGAAGATATGTTTTGGTTGCATGCAGCAAGATACCATTGATTCTTAAATCAAATGGGGGACATTTCCATTTCCTGGAAGTGCAGCTCGTCAGACACAGAGCCTTATCTTTCTTTATTCCACTAGTGTAGACGTCCTTCCTTACCACCATCCCCTCTGCAGAATTTCTATTCATGCTTTAAGACTTGATTATCACTTCTTGGATGTTAGGGCAGCCTCTTCCTCAGTTTTAGACTGGAAAGGACAGGCACAGTGACTTGTTAAACTAAACTATTTGCCTCAAACGCATGGCTAGCATGGAAGGATGGCAGGTCAGCAATGAGTTCTTGGGCTCCCCACTGTGTGCTCCCTCACCCTCCTTGCATGGCTTCCTCTGTACAGCTGACGAGGGAAAGGGCACAAGCATGTGGATCCATCATGAACACCCGGGCCTGCAACCACAAAGGAACAGCAACCACAAAACACTTTCACATACTCAGGTTAAGCGGGTTGTCTTTCCTAGTGTATGCATGCTGGATTGTCAAATGTATCTCTCCAGTATCATGGCAGTCACCAAGACTACCAGTTAAAATCAGCTTTCACCATGGGTGGGAAGCCTGGAAACCATTTGCTATTTCCCTCCTCTTGAATATCCAATGACATTCAACAATGTTACCCATAACCAATGGATGCTGCGTATACTTAGAACCAATTCTACCAATACCCATTCCACAGTGATATGAAGTTACCGTCTGACTTACTTATCTCCTTTGCTTTTGGAGATGCCAACCAACTTCTCGATGCCGCCCGCATCCCGTAAGGCCTTGGCGTTCTCCATGTTCTTGGTGATCACTTCGTGCAGGGTGCAGCAGACGGCTGTCACCGTGTCATCTGACATGGCCTTGCTCGCTGTGTTGTTGCTGTTGTTCCCACCTGGAAGCCTGTGGACGAGGTCTCGCATGGCATATTTGCCTTTGGGAGAAAAAAGTCAAGGGAAGAATTGAAATGAGGCCAAAATGGAAGACCAGGGGAGAGGCGATGGTAGGAACAGGGGAGAAAAACCGAGAACACAAGAGGCCACATTAATGCATTATTGTCTGTTTCTCATCACTGAAAATTCTCTGTTGGGTCACTGCTCTGTTGGGCATGGGTCACTGAACCCATACAGAGAACAGTTTTTCCCTCACGGTGAGTGCATGGACTTTCTGATGGATGTGGGATAGAATTTCTGGGCAAGTTAGTCCATGACTGTAAGCCTAGGCTTTTTAAACCTGTACAGCAAGAACACTAACGGTACCTATCTCACAAGGCTGTTGCAAAGATTAAATGAGTAAAAGTGTGTAAAGTATGTAAAACACGAGGAGTACTGAGGATGTGGGACTCTGTAGATGTGAGCTGTCAATGGTTCTTGAAGTCAAGAAAACATATGGTATTCGAACATCACATCAAAAATACCTTGATGGGAACTACGTTGGGGCCTGAACTATTTAACAAGTCAGAGTCAAACCACAACATATGGACAGCATGGTCATATACATAACTTCCGAGTTCTGGCCCTTATAAAACAAAGAGAAACACTCAAAGCAAGGGAGAGAGGCTTTACAAATGATGTATAACTAGGTGTCCTTGGAACTCTGGTAACCCAATGATCCACCTGTCTCTCTGATGGGATTTATTGTCTGGTTCTACCATATAACACTTACTAATTTGACACATTCCCCTTTGTGTGAAAAACAAAGAAAAGAAAATCCAACTTTGCTTCCTTAATTTGCTTCATCATTATTAATCTTGCTGCTCTCAATGATAGAGGTACTTATAATGACATCTTTATGGAGTACTTTTAGTTTACAAAGCATTTTAGGCATTACCAATAACCCTGCAAGACATTAATTCATCCCACCTGCAGCTTCCAATTCTGTTCCATTAATTTACTTCTGGAACTAAGTAAATGAGTGCCTGTAGCAAAGTTGGCTGTTCTTAAATTTTTCAGATGGAATTGGCACGTGTCCAAATTAAAATCCCTTCCTTGTCTCCTATCCCCCAATTAGACATATATAGGTAGCTCCCGAAAGCCATTTGAAATACTTTTCCTCCATACATGTCCCTAAAGGATAGCCTCTTCTGCTGTTTAATCCTCCAGTGCGAGGTGCCTGGGGTAAGGAAAGGGAACTCATGGGAGAAGGCAATGGCATCTCCATTCCAGGCATTAATAAATAAAACATAGGCCCATATCATTTTGGTATCTGCTCTTATCCTATGTTTAGGTGGCTTATTTTAGCTTGGGCCAAAAAAAATGCTGATGTCTAAATTACTGAAATAGGAAAATGTCTTCGTTCACTTGATGGTAGCTGAGAAGTATCTGACAAAAATGCTTTGCCTGAAAACCCCCAAGCGTAGCATATTTATTTTCTAAAGACAATATCTAAAATAGTTAGGAGAAGATCCTTTGTGCATGGGCAGTTCTCTGAGCAACTTGCTGTATGTATTTATCATTAAATCACACTCGGCTCTGGCTAAGATTTTCCTTTTGCTGAGCTCAGCATGCCGGGGCTTCATCAGGTCATTAACCCCCAGAGATTATATCGTAAGGCAAATCTGAGTTCCACAGATGTGAGAAGATGGATGAATGGGGGGATGGATTAAAATTTTTCTTCCTAAGGGAAGTGATAGAGGAAGGGAACAGAAAGCTATTTCAATCACTGGGCATACAGGGGCATTCACGCTCCTGACGGAGTATGGAAGACTGTTTGTGACCTTGAACATCACTGAGGTTGAAAGCAAAAATGAAAAGAGAGAGAAGATTCGGCTGCAGCATTTTCCAGTTTTTGTTGTTACTGTCAGTTAAAAAGTTATCTCAGATAAATTTGAAGGTGTGTTTCATTTTGCATGCTTTCCAAATCCAAGAATGAAATACAAGGTGTCCCCATAACATTCAGGTGACACAGGCAACTGCTTCCTCCCAGAGCAGCCTCCTCCGCCTGCCCCACGACGCTGTATAAACACTGTTTTCCATTCCATGGAGAATGATAGGAGTCACCGCCATATATTACCTACCATCACCTGTCAAGGAAACCCATTGGAATGATTTTATTTCTAATATTTCCAATACAGTTCACTGACATTTCACTGGACAATTGGAGATTTTTCATATATCTATTTATTAGTCTATGTGGAGGGATACATTTTAGTCTAAATTTTTGACCATCCAAGTGAAGAAACAAATCAAGTAAAATCATTCCATAGAGGGGAAAACCTCTGGACAAAGTTTGTTAATTCTCTAAAGGGCATACAATTGTTTTAGCCTTCGATTATGCTTCTGAGAAAAGATGTCTTCTCATACTAGAACTTGAATCCTATCATCATGTGAAATTTGCGTAGCAAGAATAGCTGTGTGTGTGTGTGTGTGTGTGTGTGTGTGTGTGTGTGCGTGTGTTCAGAAACTTGGAGGCTAATTGGGTGCGGAAAAGAGAAAACAGGAGCATAGAATAATTACAGCCATAAGTGACCTTGTGTGGCAGGCTAATAACAGAAGTCCAGGGAAGGGAGACTGCACTGGGGTTACCATGGAGGGACTGACATGGAAAGTCAGCATTCAGATTTTGTTCTATGGGTTAGGGGAGCTCCAAGACCAAGTTGATATCTTACAAAGAGAATTCTGGTACCGCAAGAAGGAAGGTTTCAGAATAGAAAGACTGAAGTTTGGAGAAACATGTAGTCTTTCTCTTGACAATAAAACTCTGTTTCTCTGAACTTCTGCTGAAATTCTGAGCATTACAGCACAAGGTGGCTTTTGCCTATAATTATTCAATGTCACATATTTTTTTTGTTCCCTAAGTTTCTAAACATTAGAAAGAGCTAAGAAGACTTTGCTGCTACCAATAAATAAGAGGTACTCCCTCTTCTGCCCCCCAGTCAAGCTTTTGGGTCTCTGAGGTCTGAGGTTTCTTTGGAGGTAAAAGGAGGTAATCCTCAGGTGCCTGGGTGGCTCAGTTGGTTACGCATCCGACTCTTGATTTTGACTCAGGTTCATGAGATGGAGCCCTGCATCAGTAGGATCTGAGCTGACAGCATGGAGTCAGTTTGGGATTCTCTTTCTCTCTCACTTTCTGCGCCCCCCCCCCCAGTTTGTGCTAAACAAACAAACAAACATTAGAAAAAAAGGAGTTCTTGAGATTCTCTCTTTCCCTCTCTCTCTGCCCCTCCCCTGCCTGCACTCTCTCTCCCTCTCTCTAAATCAATAAACATTAGAAAAAAAGGAGTTAACCTTCTTTAGGAACTAATTTTTGTGCCACAGAGGCAATGAGAAAAAGTTGTGAGGCAGGTGAGCCAAACTGCAAGTTTTTCAGTCTAACACCACGAAGGGGATCAGGTCGGTTTTTGTTTTGTCTCAGTTTGGTTTCAGAGACAGAGATGGACAGAGGGAAGGCTCTTCACAGGCTAAGGAGGAGCGTGGCTGGATGCCCAGATGGATGGCATCTCCTTAGGAACCTGGAGGAGGAATACTGGAGGTTCTTCATGGGTCTGGAATGTCAAGGACACCTGGAGACCAGCAGCACCCTTGTGGTGCA